GTCTGCACGCTCCGACGGATGGCGCAAACTGCAAGTGGCCGACGTGGCCCGCATTTTTCACCGAAATTAGCGCACCTAAAAAAATTTTGAGCCTGGCTGGGCATTTTGTGCAGCGTGGTGCAATTTCAGCGAATTTCACGGTATTGGCGCACCTCGGTGCAACAATCGGAATTCATATAAAATTGACGCAATTGGCGCAGCTGTTATTCCCCTGGCCTTGCCATCATCTGGGCTACCTCCAAGTTATGCCCCTACTTCTACGGCAGGCCTCTCAAACAGGCGCGTAGCCAGAAATTTTTTTTCGAGAGGGGGGGGAGCACCACCTTGCTTTCAGGGGATGCACCCCCTTAAAATGACCATTTTTCACTCTCTATGCCATGGCGAAAAAAAATTGCTACACCCCTGCCTTTCAAAGTTGTAAGCAACCATCACACCTTGTGTTTCTTATCTAACAGGGCCCTTCAGGTCGTATTGCAAGGTGGAGTCTGCAACTTCAGGATTTCGACAATACGGTGGTTTACAAGTAGGAACGAAGGCACTTTGATGCTGACTGCCTGTCCCACGCCCCTATTGACACAATGCCACAGGACAACGAGGACGGCAACCGTTTAATGGGAACCTTAAGCGTCAATGACTGCAGAACACCAGCGAGCTGACCCTGAAATTAGGAGCCTTGTGGAATGCCTTGAGGGCAAGGCTGCCTTTGTTCCAAAAGTATTCCAGCGATTTCTTGCGTAACGGCATCCTCGTAACGAAAACTTCTCGCCACATCGCGCCGACTACGTCACCGTAGTCCCTTTGGCATTACATACAGAAGTTCTGGATGCCTTGCATGACGACCTTATGGCTGGCCACCTTGGATTTTTCTATACGCTAGCGACGATACAAAAAAAGTACCACTGGCCCCGCCTCACTGCCGACGTCAGCCACTACGTAAAAACCTGCCGAGACTGCTGCGCCAGAAGACACTAGTAACTTGTCCAGCTGGACTTCTGCAGCCCATCGAGCCCCCTCGCCCGCCATTCCAGCAAATCGGCATGAACCTACTGGGACCCTTCTCGACGTCAAATTCCGGAAACAAATGCATCGTCACATTTCTGACTACCTCGCCCGCTATGCCAAGTAAAGGCGCTGCCCAAAGGCATTGCCACCAATGCAGCAAAGTTCTTTGGGGAGAACATTGTCCTGCATCATGATGCCCCAGAGATCCTCATTACCGATAGAGGTAGGGTCTTCACAGCGGATCTAAGTCAGTTTATTTGGTTGTCTTTGGGTGCCTATTTGTTGTCTTTGGAGTCAGACAACACCAGGCATCCAAAGACAACCAGTTTATTTAAGCAGCAGTTTTGTTTATTATATTTCTCTTGACTAAGAGTCTACTGTCGTATTATTAAGATATGCAGGACCACTTCTCCTAATCACAGAAACGTTGCTGCCTGTAATCAAGTACACCTCTTTTAGGTCACCACTGCATTGAGATCACCTGGGCTCCGAGCCACTCGGGGCTCGCGGGGAACGAACACACTCATGAAACCGCCGGAGCTCTCGTCCACCGGGTGCCTCATACAACAGAGCAGCACCCCTCACGACCCGATGCAGCTGAGCAAGAGACAATGGACTTTGCGAAGGACAGAATGGTTACCTTTGGAGAAGTCATAATGTATTACCGTAAGACCTGACTTAAACACCCTTCCCCCCAACACACACACAAGTTCCTTAGTAAGCAGCAATCCACTACCTGGCATGTATTACAGACACGCAATTTCCCCTGTCCGTCACTGTACAGCTGCATTTACCCTGCTGTCCACCACCACAATGCAAGGCATGCAATGCACCTCACGCCGAGCTCGACCTTTCATATGAGCTGGCCCCACAGCTTCTAATGCCATAAAATACAACACGAACCCTACATTCACAATCACCATGGCCCATCCCCCGGCCCCTCGCCACCTTTAACCTCAGCAGCGACACTTTACTAAAGTTTCTTCTCTCTCTTTTTTTAACATAAGATCAAGTTTGTTCCGTACCTCATAAATGTTGTATATCGTATACCATTATCGTGTGGAAAACTTTACATAGCTTAAACGGGCCGGCAACTCAATTCTAAGTTATCCGAGTTCAAGTATAATGTAGAAAAATAAAAGCAAGGCAACCTAGCTCATCACTGTTCTCACTGACAGTGCATTGCATTGTATGTCAATTCATGTGTGGTCTCTGAAAACTGGGAACAGATCACACGTGACAATGCAGAAGCAGACTTGATTGATAAGCTTGGTGATCAGTGTGTTAGCACTGCCTCAATAGCTCTTCTTCATCAAGAAAAGGTGTTCGTGCGCATGTTGTGATTGTTCATTTCTTGTGATGTGTCAGGGTCTCTTCAGAAATAAACCAGCTGGAACCAGTGCTCACTGGTCTCTGTGCTTGTTTGTTGTTTCTTCGCTGTTATTTTGCGATCAAGAATCAACTAACCTTATTCAGTGCCATCAATGGAAAGAAAGCCTGCCAAGTATTGGAACACGATTTTACGAGAACGCTACAATACTGTTGCCAGTCAGCCTTTAGGGCATACATTTCAACATGACCAAGCTCACTCAAAATTTTGTTTTAAAAACTGCTGAAAGATTTCCTGAAACTACAGTGAAATCCCGTTATAACGAACCTCAGATTAACGATTTTTTCAGATTAACGAATATTTTGGAAATCCCCTTCCAAATGTCCATTGGTTCAATGTAAAATATTTCACTATATAACGAATGTTTCAGAATAACGTATCAAATTTTATCACCCTGGTACCTTAAGAGCACTTCAAAATAACGAATTTCTAGCGTAAAAATTACGTGCGGCGGTCTAAATGCCCAGCGCCATATGTGGCACTATCATCATCATCAGAGCTCCTGCTATTTCTCTATGCGTTGCCTTATGCTAAACGCGCACTAGCCTGGCTAGCCCTATCGCCATCGCCAGTACCTTGTTTTCGATGTTTTTTTTTTTTTTTTGCATGCTCGTTGAGCCTGGTTGAGCCTAACCTCGCCGCCTTTGTTTTGTTACGTCGACCGGCAACGTCGCACGATTGTCGTACGGCTTTCTCGTTTTAAAGGTTAGAGTGATTCGTTTCTGCGTTCGCGATGAGCTCCGGAAGCAGCGCGAAAAAGAAACGGAGGCAGTTTTCTTTGAAAGAAAAAGTGGATATTCTTTCTCAAGTGGACGCCGGTAAAAAACAAATCCACGTTGCGAACGAGATGGGGGTTGCACCATCAACTGTCGCAACCATCCTGAAGGACCGACAAAAGATCCTCGAGCTGCACCGAGGGTCCCAACTTGCACCGTCAAGAAAACGGCTCCGACTTGGGAATTTCCAAGAAGTGGATGCTGCAGTACTGACTTGGTTCAAGGACGCACGTTCTCAAAATGTGCCGGTGTCGGGACCCATGCTGCAGGAAAAAGCCCGGCAATTCGCTGATGCTTTGGACATCACAGGCTTCGAAGCAAGCACGGGGTGGCTTCATCGTTTCCGTGAAAGGAATGGAATCACCTGGCAAGTGGTGTCTGGTGAAGAGAAGGCGGCAGACGCAGCAAGCGCTGCTGCATGGAGGGACGAGAAGTTCCGCGAAATCGTCGCTTCATACTCCGAAGATGATATATTCAATGCGGACGAAATGGCGTTCTTCTATCAAACGCTTCCTGATAAAACCATGCATTTTAAAGGGAACAGCTGCAAAGGCGGCAAGCAGTCCAAAGTCCGGATTACGGTATTGTTATGCTGCAATTCCACAGGCACCAAGAAGCTGAAGCCCTTGGTGATCGGCAAATACAAGAAGCCTCGCTGCATGAGGAACGTTGTTTCATTGCCGTGCGATTATCGGGCTAATTCACACGCGTGGATGACACGAGAATTATTCTCTGAGTGGCTACTAAAGGTGGACGATGAGATGAGGAGCGCAGGTAGGAAAATCCTGATTATCGCCAACAACTGCTCGGCGCATCTTGTTAATGTCAGGCTGACAAATGTACAGCTGGAATTCTTGCCTCCGAACTGTATGTCCTTGCTCCAGCCACTGGACCAAGGCATCATAAAAAGTGTCAAGGCCCATTACCGGACACGCCTGGTTCAGCGATTGCTGATAAATCTTCGGATGAAGCTGCCTACCTCCATCAATGTGCGACAGGCCACAGAAATGGTTACCGGGGCCTGGTGGAGCGTTACATCAACCACCATCCAGAACTGCTGGAGGAAGGCAGGCTTGGTAGTAATGCCATCTGAATCTGAACAAGGCAGCGAAGAAAGCGACGCGAGTGGCATGTGGCAAGAAGTCGTCGAAAGACTCGCGATGGATGCCTCGGTGACGTTCGAGGACTATGTGCAGTGCGACGACGAAGCATGCACGTCAGCCGAACTGACGACCGATGACATCGTCAGTGCTGTTCGTGGTGATAACAGCGACGAGGATGCCAATGGCGAAGACGACGCTGAGACCGCGCCCGTTAGCCAACCAGAAGAATCGCTTTCCAACGCCGACATCATGGAATGCGTGCGAAAGGTGCGCACTTACCTTGGCAGGTGCAGCAATGCCACCGAAGCGGAGCATAAGAATGTGGACAACTTCGAAGCGTTCGTCCTGCGGCAGTTGAGCGGCACCCGCCAGGCCAAGATCACCGACTTTTTCAAATAAACGTGCGCTCATTCCGGAATACTTCGCGTTTTGTTTCTTTTCACGCTCGTCATAAAATCAAGCGTTTGCGGATGTGTACACAGCAAAGGTAGGCGACTCCTTTTGTTGCATTTACGATTTTTAATGCGAATTTTCGATGTTTTCACTATAACGATATTTCAAAATAACGAACTATTTTCCGCGGTCCCTTCAAATTCGTTGTATCGAGATTTCACTGTATGTTTTTCCATGCCTCCCAGGAAATGTCATCGCCCAAGCGTGCTAAGTGCACCGTATCCATACATTGTAGGGAAATTCGGAAGACTTGGCAGGTCTGGACAAGCAACTTACTGATGTAGTGTTGCACTCCAGCTTGGCATGTGATTGGGGCGCAGTCCCACGTGGCATCGTCTGCAGCTCTGCCTTACCACTGCTACAGTTCAGGCTGAGATCCTCGGCAGAGAAGAGATTGGAGGTGTCCAAGCCAATGCGTTCAGCCATCTCGAGGCCCAAACGTCGATTAAGCAGCCGCCGCTGCTGCAGTAGCACCTCCTTGGACTGTGAGCCACCTGTTGCGCAGAGCACACATGACAGACTTGCAGCACTCAAACACAGCGCTTTATGTGAAACATCTGATTGAGAAATCAGAGGAAGCCACATGTGTTCTCCTCATTCCTTTTTTTGTCAAAATTTTCTAGGCTAGAGTGTAATATAGTCATGAGGAGGTAGGAAAGTGTGCGTTATTGTTCGTAAAGCTCCCTATGATTCCTGGCAGTAGCCTCGTCTCACTAAAGTGGAGATATATTGCCATGCATGCTTAGTTTGTTTTCAACGGCCATACTGTTTAGCAAATCATTCCTTGTTCACCAAGGAACATTAACCAGTACCTTAAGTTGGAACTCTCACATTACTAACATATGCGCTGCCGCTTTCCGTAAACTTTGTTTATTACGACACAAACTCAAAACCGCTCCCTCTGAGGTTAAATACTTAGCATATACTTCTAAAATTAGACCGAAACTTGCATATACTTCTAAAAAATTAGACCATGAATATGCCTGCGTTATTTGGGATCCTCACACTAAAACCAATATCGACTGCCTCGAAGGAATTCAAAGAAGGGCCGTCCGCTTTATTTATGGTATGTACGGTTTAATAGACTCCGTTTCTGCCCTGATGGAAAGACATGGTATCCCAACATTAGAATCACGACGTAAATCATTTAGGCTAAAATTACTTTACCAATTAGTTAACCGGAAGCTCTTATTTGACGACAGCCCCTACATTAGTCGCCTGGAAACACGGCGCGGTCGTCATTCACACTCCCTTGCCTTAACTCCGTATTTCTCCAAAACTAATCTCTTCAAATTTTCGTTTTTCCCACGCACAATCTGTGAGTGCAACAATTTACCGTTTGCCGCCCTGCTGTCGACAGATTCTATTGACGCACATGTTTTCCTGAGGATGTAAAAATGTTTTGCAGTTTTATTATCCACTGATCCTTTTTGTAGATTGCTTACTTTCAGTGCCATGTTGCTTTCCCTTTGCGATTCTCGCAAATGCGATTCTCGCAATCCCACTTAATTCATTGCTGTTATGATAAGCTTGGTTGCATTATTGTTGTATGTGTGTGATGATTGGATTATTGTATGCTGTGTGATGCTTGGCTTGATTGCCTTACTGCCTGTACCATTCCTGCTTGGGCTCCATGCCTGCAGTATCTTGTAAATAAAAAAAAAGATGAGCACGAGCTACAGAAAGCCCAGCTACTCACCACAGCCAAAACAAAAAGAACACTAGTTCACCAAATGATTACCACGTGCCACAGAATATTGTGTGCACTTTCAAAAAAATATCATAAAAAATATCATTTTAAACGTGTATGCCCCACAGAAATAAGGTCATTACCAATACGCATGCAGCGGTTAGCCCAACAAATGGCTGACATCGGCAAGCTGAAGATTTTATTTATTTATTTATTTGCATAGATACACACGAGAAGGAAAGGCACTTTCTGGTTATGATGTAGCCACTATCTGACTTGTAATTTTCAAAAACTGTTGTTCCCTTTTGTGTGCATGTTTTGTTTATTTCTCCAAAAGTTTCTGCTATATATGCACATTTTATTACCTTTGTTTGCAATTCAAACAGCCTTAGTATACATGCTTTAATTTGCTTCTGCTAAAGTGTTCACTGCTGGGGCCAGTCAGGCTACATATAGGTAGCTTCTTTCTCACTTCTAAACCATTTTTGAAGTTTTGTACTTATTGCGGCAAAAATAAACAAAATAAACAGCAGCTGCGTGGAGACTTTGAAGGGATGAAAAACTCGTGAAACAATAATGTACCCGTGTCACGTCTGTGACAGTCCATGGTTTAACTAGAACCTCTCTGCACAGGAACAACTTCACATCACCTAGCTAAAGCCTAACAACAATCTATAGAAGCAAGCTATAAGCAACCTGAATCACCTAGCTAAGGCCTGAAAAAAACCTACAATCTGGTAGAATGTTCCACGACATTTCTTCCTCAAGGGCAGATGCATGCAAGCCTGCATCAACAAGCGCCATCTGTAATGAGCCGGGCGGCCGGTGAACCCACCTTTGCAGAAAACCACTAAGTGCATAAGCGGCACTCTTTCTCCCGCTGCCAAGCGAAGCCTCTCTAGACCTCCTAAGTTGTGTCTGACCATTGAAGCAATCATATCAGTCTTCAGAATCGCCTAGTTTCCCTGTCTCAAGGCTTGTGTAACCTAGCTTCAATCTTTTTATCTACTGGCTTAGGCTGCTTTGGAGTAGCTTTTGGAGCAGCAAAACTGGTTTTTGGAGCAGATATTGCTAGAGTCAATTTTAAGACACCTATTGGGCTCAAGAAGAAATCTGTATACAGGGGTTGTGTCGAGCCGACGTTCCAATAAGTGGCCTTGTCTTCCTTTGAACAAAAGTGTTCTGTTCTAGCCTTGAGAAAGACAAGTCTGCTTGTCGAAACGTCAACCCAACACCCCCCCCCCCCCCTACCCCTGATTACGGATTTTTTCATCTCATGCACCCCTTCCTGCCGTTTTTTTTAATATTGTGTTCATGACACATGAATGGTAAAATTACAATAAGCTGCACCTTGTTCAAGCCTAATAAAGTAAGAAAGAAAAGTGTATCACTGACAGATACACTGACCGTATTTAATAGACAAAGCCAATGATAAAATTTAAAACCATAGCACTTTATTAAAACGTGACTGAAGATCAGTTGACTGCCAATTTTTCAGAAGCCAGATCTTTCAGACATGCTTGAAAATTCAGACGATTTCATGACAGCATCACAAGACCTATCGACATCTATGGATAAAAACATCTGAAGTTTTCGACGCTGAAACTCTTCAGCATCCGATTTTTTGGAGCTTTCAGCCGACATTCCGAGTATGAAACAGCATTACTTTAAAGTCCCTACCTTTGCTAGGTCTATGACCTCCTAGGCTAAAACGAGTGCTTTCAAGTGTCATTAGGCGTCACAAAAATGTCTGACAATTGGCTTTTGCCACATTGCCCAAGCGCTATGGGGTGAAGCAGATAAAAAAAAAATTCGAAGGGCGCCAGTATCACCACGGAGTGAGGTGATGTCTAACAGATAAGCACCAGAAATGCTCGGAGGCGTGATGGCGGAGGTGCGTAAAACATGCCAGTAAGACTTAATTGCTTTATGATAAGCACCTACAGCTAACTTCTTGTTACTGTATGAGGTACAGTTGTTTTTGTACTGCACGCTTTTAATCACACACGCACACTGCCGTCCACGCTGGCTTTCTGTGCGAATCGGCTGAGTGCGCCACACACACCTTCATGAACAAAAGCAGCTCGTTATCGCCGCGCCCGTGTGCGATCAGGAACAGAGTGGGCATCAAGAACACATTTTGTATGACAAACATGTGCGTACGAAAGCGCCCCAGTAAGAACGTGTCGGCTGAGTAGGCAATGCACTGCACACAACTAGGAACGATCGGTCTCGTGTGGCAACAAGTGCTATGCGTCAGCGGAGATTTTCACACAGTGGCACAACTTCTAAGTGCGCACATGCATCGCAGAGGTCCGTATATTTATTTCTCTGTTCTGCCACATCCTATATGTTTTGCATCATCGTTTCCACAGGCTTCATGCGATAAATCCTCAAATTATTCCGCACTTTGCTAGTATCGGCGGCGCTCATCACATGACGGATATTTATAAATGGACGTCGGCAGGTTCTCAATGTATTTACGACAGCCTGGGCGTGCACCGAAATGCCTGATAAGTGTACTCTAGGAGGCATCGAAGCTATTTCAGACAGAGCTGTGGCGATTCGATTACTTGAGTGGAATAAGAAGTCATGAATCTTTTTTCGGACGATTTACATGTCCCTGGAAAATCTGAAAAATCGGGCATTCACTGCGTCCCAACCATCCATGTTCCTAACTAGAGTGACCTATAATAGGGCCAGTGTCCAAAGCGCCGCCTCCCACGTGGTCCTTTTGCGGTGAACTCCTGCGCCGCGCCGCTGCTAGCCGGACCCGTGGGCTTTTCGCGCTCGGGCGCGCACAAAGCCAGGGGTGTCCGCTACGGGCTGTAGTTTTTTGCGCTCGGTTCCGACAAACGGTACTTGAAGTCTACTTAGCTTTAATAATGCCATGTGTGATGAAGCTTATTAACCTTTTAAGCATTGTGCCTGAGGCAACAAGAGAATGCAAAAACTCAAGTGACAAGCGGCATCAGCATGGCCAGGATCTAGTGATAAAGCTTGAGAATTTTAGTGCCCGCGTAAAAATGCAACAAATGAACAAACACAAGAAAAGAACGAAAGGAAACTTGTTCGCACAGATAATGGAGAAATGGTGTTGCACATGCAAGAATTAGGAGTAATGAAAACAAGAAATTACATGCACAGTCAGCTGAAACAGCTACGCGCAGTGATTACATCGCTCGACATTATATACTAGCACCAGAGCTCATACGATTGGTTTACTAGCCATATGCAAGCCACTTTACTTGACAATTTGTTAGCCTCGACTAGCGCTAAATATTATGAACAGAGCAGATTGCGAAGTTGTAATGGAAACAAAATAAAGAGTTAGAACACAATAACGGTGTCTTATTTTTGCTTCTGAGGTAGCCTGCAAGGCTTACCAAGCGCAAAGTCTAAGTTAAGTTCTGACACAGTTTGAAAGAAAACGAATGCGAGGTAAAGTTACAATACTTGACAAGCTTGTGCATGAAAGACGTATTATTGCGCTACCAATATCCAAGTACCATGAAAGTTTCAAATACCCCTTTCTTGATGTACAAGCTGAATACCTGTCTGAAAAAAAATTTAGCAAGTTTGGTAGTGTAATATCTAAACCAGTATAAAAATGGCTCAAATATTGAGGTCGTTTATGTACTTGAACTTGAATAATGCAAGAGGAGACTTTTAGATATATATACAGAGAGAGAAAGAAGCTGTTTGAGAAAACCAGCAGTGATCACTCATGCGTCATGCATTGGGCATGTTTTTATCAACAGACTTCACTGAATGTTTTCGTGAAATGTGTGTGTATTGCTTCAA